AATGTCTCTAGATTTTGGGTTAAAAGTGGTACCAATCTCTTATGTGGATTGGATTTATGTCACATATATATAATTTTTCCTCAAGTATCCCCTCAAAAGAAAGAAAAGAAATACTCATATGCAGTATCAAAGTTAATGGTTAGTCCAAGTCCCACATTGCTAAAAATGACAAAATTAAATTATATATGAGAAAAAAGATCCACAAACTCAATGTCTCCAAGTTTTATATTAAAAGTTATGTTAATTCCTTATGTAGGTTGTACCCAAGTCACATATATATAATCTCTCTCTAATAAAGCTAAAAAAATGGTAAAAATCCATCCATATACATGTGTGTTATACTAAAATTTAAATATCAAAGAATAATGAAACTTGTCATGTTTTTCCATGCCATGGTCTTTGATCTTATAAGGACATTATAATTGGTTATAATTAAAATTATAAAGACCTAGAAAATGACATTTTAAGATAGATAGTGGTTTAAAATAGTGAGACTAAATTATTTTTGTAATATTAGAAGATTTTAGTATAAATAGTTTTGTTATAAACGAGTTTCATCATTTTAAAACACACTCTCTCAAGAAACTACTTTTCTATAGTTCTCTAACTTCTCTCTAGGAGTTCTCCCTCTCTGTTTACTTGTTTGAAGATTTGAGGTTGTTGGAGTGGTCCTCATGGCGAGCTCTTCAACTTGGACTAATTATTTTCTCTATTCGCGTAAGTTAGTTTTCTGTCACTTTTTTGTCGTTCTAATCTATTTTTCTTTACATGCAGTCTTCTTTTTATTGTATGTGTCATTTAAGTCATCAATATGAGTCTTTGTTGGTTAGTGATCATAGTGGTATGTTTTGATTGTTCTTCTGATATTTCTATATGTAGATAGAGTGTTATGTGAACTTGGACATGTATGTTGTTTTAGAACTTGTTGGGTAGTTTTACCAGGTAAGGAAAGTTAGTTTATTATTTTAGTTGTGCCTATATGTTGATATTTACATGTGGATGGTATGACAAATATGATGTATAAATTGTTGTTAAATATTTGTAAACTATTGTAGAGAAGAAGATTGGTGTTGAATGAGTGTTGTTGTATGTGTTTGTGAAAAGAATAAATTGTGGTTTGACATGAAAATTGAATGAGAAGATTCTAAATTGAGAAATTGTGTTGATTGGTATTAATTAAAGACTTGTTTATAGTTTTTTGAATCAAAGAAAGAAGTAGATGTACCAATTATAGTTTATTGATCAAGCTAGATCCTTCCTATTCATTTTCTGGTTTTTTTATATAGCGTTAAGTAGTGGCCAAGAGATTCTTCACACATTTGATGGAGGAGCAAGGAAGAAGGTCATTATAAAGGAAGCATAAGACACAATGTTAAAGAAAAAAATAGATGGTGACAATGGATCAATACTTTGATCATAGGAGTTTTCTTTCCATTTAGGTTTTAATTTCAACAATATTTTGATTCTAGGGTTTGTTGTCAGATTTCAGGTTTTAACTCCAACTTATGAGAAAGACTATTTTGAACAATTTTGTTCCTCCATGCACCTCATGCTAAGTGGTGATTACGGTTCATCTTAGGATATATGATTTAAGAAAAAAAGAATGTAGGATTAGTGATGAGTTGCAATAATATTTGTAATTAGTGGTAATAAAGTCATGGAGGAACAATTAGAAATAAGTTTAGAGAAAAAGTCAAATATGAAAAACGTAAAATAATAAGGTAGATATCAAATAAGATAGTAATGCATAATGCATAATGGATTCACTTCTAATAATGATCCTCCTTAGCATTCATATTAATATGTTAGAAAGTTAATCTTTCAAATGGTGACACTTAATTGTTCTATTTTATGTCTCCCTATGAAACTTTTTAAGGCGTTTAATATATTTGGTTAACAATGAAATTTTTATGTATGCATGTTCACAAAGCTTCGATTCTTTAACTGTATGAAAAAAGACTTTATTATTAAAAGAAGTAAAACTCATTTTGGTAATATTATTCTTATTGTTATCTTATTAGTGTTATGAGTATTAGATAGACATATCTTATTTTCATATATACTATTACATTTATATATTAATATTTCTTATAGCAAAAATGTAATTTAACCAAATATTCAATGAAGATTGTGACGGATTTTTCATAATATATTGGTATAAAAAAACTTTTGGAATATCAATATATAGAATATATTAAAATTAAAAAGTATTTTTCTTATTTATATACTTATTTATATATTTAAAAAAAATCACGGACCAATTTAAGAAGATAAGTGTAATTAACACATCAATTATGAAATGAAATGAGACATGTAAACTACCTTTTATTTCATTTTAAGTGAAGATACATATAGTCTATTGAGTATAATAAATATTGAAATAATTCACTTTTTAGAACAATAAAAAAAGAAAAATTTTAATATAAAAACTTTAATTCTATTAATTTTGGGATTAAATATGTTTGTAGTCCCTAAACTATTGGTCGTTTCTGGTTTTCGTCCCTGTTTCAAAGTAAGGTACAATTTGGTCCTCGTCCTTTTCGAAAACGTTCGTTTTAGTCCTCGAAAACTAAACACTGTTTAAAAATTTGGTCCTCATTTAGCAACAAATGAGGACTAAAACCAAAATTTCGAGGACTAAAACGAACGTTTCGAAAAAAATGAGGACCAAATTGTACCTTACTTTGAAAGAGGGACGAAAACCAGAAATGGCCAATAGTTTAGGGACTAAAAACATATTTAACCCTTAATTTTGTTTAAACTTTATTAACTAATAAAAATAATTAAGCATATATCAAATCTTTAAAATTTGTCACATATTTATTAAAGAAAAATTTAACATTAACAGGTACAATTTTGATTGCCTACTTAAACTATTAATCAAGTTTAAATAAAATTAAAATTATTATTTTTTGTTACTATATAAAAAGTAAAGTATCTTAATAATTATTGTACTAAATAGACTATTCTCCTTCAAGTAAACACAGTTTTCAAAAATAAAATAAAATTCTACATTTTTGTGGTAATTTGGTGGTTGCATACTCTGATGGAGAGATTATGATAGGGTTAAGATATGAATGGTGGAAATTGTTCAAATACAACTATGTTTGGGCTGTGAGGCTGTGGCCCCATGTCTTCCACACCAGCATGTAGCATTTGGGGAAGTTGGCTATTCTGAACCATACTTTTTATATTATTGCCCACTAGCAATTAAAATTAACACATGAACACTGAACTTTCTCAGAAAACAGACCCACCATCTGGCTTCTGTGGCTCGCAGCTATCACATTCTGAATAATCAAAACGTGGAAAATATACCTTAGTAGAAAATTATTCACTTTAGTTTTAGGATTTCAAGACACTTTAATGGTACATTTCGTTTAGTGCTTTACAAAAAATTAATAGCTATTTTATATTTTATCTTACATATTTAACATCTCATTTGTATCTTCAATTTTCAAAAATAACTTTAGAGATTATATTTTTTTTTATCAGATTTCAAAATTCAAGAAAAAACTTTTTTCTTTATCAAATTTAGAAATCTAATGAAGGATTTTTCAAAAACTTAATCAGATTTCAAAATTTGATGAAGAATATAAAAATAAATATCGAATTTTGTAATCCGATGAAGAAAATAAAAAATTCTTTATCAAAAATCGATAAAGAAAATGAAAAATCCTTCGTCGAATTTTAAAATTCGATGAAAAAATAAAAAAAAATTTCATTAGATTTTGAAATTCAATGAAAAAAAAAATTTCATCAGATTTTGAAATTTGATGATGTACAAAAAGTGGGACGTAGGGTTTTTTGAACTATAGAAGACAGTTTTAAAATTTTTAAAAATTTTGGAAATGCAAGATGGAGTGATTTTTAAAAAATTTTGGAAATGCAAGATGAAGGGATGGGAGGTGTAGAGTGAAACAGCCAAAATTAGTGTCATCTTTCATTTAGAAATCCAAAATTTCTATTTTGAAACATCCTGCTCAGAATGAAAATGAATGCTAGACTTTTTTTCTTTTTCAGAACATGTGTGGCTTTCTTATTTACTTTCACTGTAGAGTACTATAAGTGTTTTTAATTGATGGTAATATTATGATTGGAAGTATTTGCAATAGTGAAACAAAGAGCCAGTTTGATTCTTTCACTACTTAACTTTTCAAAACTCTTAACAATTTCACTTTACTTCACAATTAACTTCACATTCTAAATCAATTAAATTTTGATGTCTTGATCAAAATAAATGTTTTGAAAACCAAGAAACAAACAATTAAAAAATGTTCTCTCATTTCTTTGTCTTCATCTCGTTTAATCTCTTTCAGTTTCAGAGACTTTTGCCCCCATACAATTCTCAAACTCAACTTTATTAAAATATCACATATATATAATTGGACCAAAATAAAAGAACCTTGAATAAGGGACATTACAAGATGACATGATTTGAGACACTATCTAAAGAAATATCAACAACCACTAAATGAAGAGGAATACAAAAGGAAGGCAATAAGCAAAAGTGACATCTGTTGATACAATTCTATTCAATTATCATTCATCATTGGTGTTTGAGTTTGAGCAAAAAATATTAATTAAATCGATGAAGACAGCACACCCTTCATCAAGAATTTGCAATTTACAGATTCCTTGTTCTTCAAGGAGAACACCTAACACATGCACCCTGATCATGCTTAAAACCATGCAGTCACAATCAAATCAGTCATGCATTCATTCATTCCCTCATCAGACAAAATCTTCAGAGTTCAGAAATTGTGTCATATGCAGCAAGATATTATGTGGCCTCTCTCTGTCTTCAAGAGGGAAAAATGGAAGTTTCACTGTGATGTGGATGAGTTACTAATTGTAGGATCTGTTTGATAGTACACAATATCCCCAGTGTCACTGACAAAATGGTCTTTCTTCATGCTTGTTAGCAATTCTCCAATGAGGTAAAATGGAAGAGGGCTGGACTTCTTTGGCTCCCGGTAATATTGACCAAGAACAGGTTTAGCTGCCTCAGTCTATAATGGAACAAAGACAAATTCCAAAGAGTATGCAGTTAGTATAAAATTACCATTCCTTTAATTCATCAAAAGAAGTGCAGCAGAGGGACACTCACTGCTTCTATTAAGTGATAGTGTGGTATTTGAGGGAAAAGGTGATGAATGACATGGGTTCCAATGTCATGGTGAATGTTATTAATCCATCCATAGTCACGATCAATAGTTGTAAGGCCACCCCTAAGGTAGCTCCATTCCTGTTCAACACAGTGAAGAATGAAGCTAAGAAGAACGGTTGAATTTAAGTCACTTCCAATTCCAAGTCATCACAAACATTGAAGAAGCAAGCTGAAGAAGACTATACTATAACTCTATAATCTTTTTAGTTTATCTATGAACAAAATATAGACAACTTCTTATGTGTTTTTGGTGTTCTTAAATCAAAATTAGAGGTTTCCAACTTGGAAACCTGTGCTAACCTTTGATGCAAACATATACTATGTAGATGAACAAGGTAAAATTTCAACTATAACTGGATAGCATAGCAGAATCAAAATACATAAGGAACTATTACTATTACATCTAAGTCTTGTCCTTGATTCTAAAAAAGGTGAAGTGAAATGACCAAGTTGATCAAACATTTTCTTGAAAATGAAAGAAAAAGGAAAGAAATGATACCTCTCCACGATACCAAGGTAATTTGTCTTCGTGGCCATGGTGATGCAAATAAGTGACCAAATCCAACCACATAACAAAAAGCTGAAATTATAGAAGTCAAATTAGGATTTGGTTGTTAGTCAGAAAGAAAGACTTGTTCTGAATGAAGTTTCTAGTTCATAGTTAAGAAAAAGATAAGGAATTTACCACATAGGGAATGCCATAAAGCTTAAGCAATTGAACTGGGCCCATCACAAATCCCAAACCTACAAGCAAGGCAGCCATAGCTAACCAACAAATTGTTGAAGTGATAACATCTTTTCTCTCACTTGGGACAAACAAATCACTGTTTGGATCAAAATGAGAACCAGTCTTCCCAGGACTCCTATTCCACTGAATTGAAAGATCATAACAAAGGTGAATTCCCACACAAGAACCACTAACAATAAAGGTTTAAAGTTATGCTGAAACTGTTAGGTACTGCAACTTACAAGGTAGATGGGATACGCAAGCAATGGAAAAGGTACTTTAAATCTTAAAGTACGTGTTACATTGTCCATGCTGTTGAAAATTTTCTCTGGCAACTGCAAGATTGACATTGAATATTTTGACTTAGACCCTTTAATATAAACTATTGGAGCCAAAAGCAGATTTCCCATAAGAACCCCCAACAAAGATGATCATCTTACCGGGTGCCAGGATTCATCATTTTCAACATGGCCATGATTTTGGTGATGTGTTCTATGACTGATTCTCCTGTATAATTCATGAAACTATCAGTTTCAAAACATAGGCTTAAAATGATGCATTTTAGGATATAAGCAAACAACAAAAGATAAAAAGGGGACTAGAAGAACAGCTCATCAAGCATACCATCCATGATATGGAACTAGAATTGATGAATGCAGCAAGTGCCCAGCAACACTGTTCAGCTTGGGATTGTTTGAAAAGCTTCCGTGACCACTGAAAGATCCAAAACACCAACCATGGTTATTACAACAAGCTTCTAAAATCCAACTATGCCACCCCAAAAAGGCCAATCAACAATTAAATCTAGATCTGCATTAGTAAAACAAAAATTGAGATATCAACACGAAATTGCTATTACCAATCATGACCAAGAACAAAGAGGGCCCAGAACATGGTTCCCTGAGCAGCCCAGTAGAGAGGCCAAACTATCCAGTTGTTGAGATAAGCTGCAGCAGCAGCCAACCCAAAAACCACAATGACATCCCTCACTACATAACTCATGGACTTCCAAGGGTCCTTCACCCAGCAGTGTTTGGGAATGGCAGCTCTGATATCTGCCAATTTGAAGGGTGGTGGTGCACTAGGGTCAAATTCAGGTAATTCCTCTCCAACCCCACTAACGCCATTGACACTTTCTTCTTCTCCCTCGCTGGTGGCAACCTTCAGTGGTGCACTCACTCCCAATTCCCACCTTCTCTCCCTGTAGTTGCAACTTGTAAACCCTCTTGGTTGGACCTTCAGATCTGCCACTCCCTTATTTGTGCTAAAAAATCGAAACTTTGAAGGCTTTTGGCACACAATAGGCCTTGTTGGCCGTGGAAATACAGGAGGAAGAGGCCTTAAACCACATTCTGATAAAACCCAAGTTGCCATTGGAGAAAAGGAGGAAGCTTTGGTTGGTTTTTGGGTCTGTGGCTGATTAGTTCCTTAACACTTCATAATCCCTGAGGATAGAAAGGTAAAGTTATAAGAGAGAGAGAGAGAGAGATATGTGTGAACCAAAATATATGCATGCAACTGAATCTACAACTCTAACAAACAAAACACAAATTTGAGAAAAACAAAACACTTGGGTGCTTCAACAAGAGCCTCACATTTGTGCTTTAACTTTCTCTCTCCTAGGTTTCTCCCTGTTATATCCCCTCCCCCACCTCCTTCACAAATCTGAGAGGAGAAAGGTCTTGGCTTTAACAAAAGGGTATCGAAATTTAACAAAAGGGTATCGAAAGGCAAAGATGTAAATGGTAGGGTTCTGGTTTATGTAATTTCCTTAAGAGATTATTCTTATCTCAAATATAATGCTGTTGTTATAGGAATTTGGACATGTTTTTTCTCTAGTGATCACTTTTAGATTCCACGTTCTTATGTTGGATTCACATTCTTCAGTGGAAAGAAACTCCAATAACTCTTCCTTGCCTTTCCGTTCGGATTTTGACCCCCTTTGGTGCAATTTGGGAAGTGGAGACTCCTATTTTCTTGCCTTTGCTTTTGGTGGCATCTTATTACGCATCACTGTAACCAACACCAGATAATAGTGAAGAAATAACAGAAAGATTTTTGAAATTTTGATGAGAAAACATATCGATATCATTAAATTAATTAAATGAGTAAATTGCATTAATATTCTTTCAGTCTTATCATATAAAACTTGAATATGAACCCCTCAAATACTAAATGATACCTAAATAGAGAGAAAAAAGATGTAAATATTTTAAGTGATATTAATGGAAAGAGAGATATAGGAAGAAAGTCTCCATAATGATTAGATGTTGAAAAATACAAAATATTATTATTATTATTATTTATTTATTATTATTTTTTTCATATTACACTTATTTTTTGTTTTATAATAATCCTTTTTATGTGAATACACATGTTAATATGTTTCAAACCATTAAAAATAATTCATGTAATGTATAAGGGACATCGTTATTATGTTATTAAAATAGTTTAGAGTTACTTTTACATCTTACAAAAAAAAAGGCATAAAGATGAGAAATTATAAACGTGGCTTAAAAAGTGAAAAGCCAAAAGAGTTGAGAAAAAATAAATTAGTGTTTTAAGTTGTTTGATTCTTGGGAATTTTTCTTCCAAATAAACTCTTTTTTTCTAGAAAAAAAAAATATCTAAATAAATTAAACCCAACTTTATTTAACAATTTAGATTAGATTTGTTGATGATTCAATATTAAAACTTGTATTATCTAATTGTTTGAGAATTGACCCGAAGTGTTATATATGGATAAATTGCTATATACCAAACCAAATAGGTATGATATCTATTTTGTGTTTATATAGGAGAGTTAAATATAAAACGGAGTTATTGGATCAAGACTCTTAAAGAGGTTTTCAATATGATTTAGAAAATATTGTATCTTATAATTATTATGATTTTAGGTATTTATTATATTTTTGAGCTTAAGAATATATGATGTAAAATCATGGAGACTTTAAATAGGAAAACAGCTCCAAGACTTAGGTACTTAAATTATTTTTACTTAAAGGACTATTAACTTTAAATAAGATAATTCATTCATTGTTTTTTCTCCAGTTTAGGGCCTCAAATTCTTGACGTAAGTCATGAGAAGGTCTCTCATTACAACTCCGCTCTTTTCTAATGTAGGTGAAGAATCAAAATTTCAACTATGTATATATCTTTTTACTCAAAACAAAAGGTAATGATAAAATTATACAGAACCTACAAAACAAAAATCCATAGAGGTAATTTCATAATTTCACAATCATAAAAAGTTTCTTATACACTCATTCTTTTTTTTTTTTACATTATCTAAACATATTGATATTAAAATTATTATTTTACAATTTTAATAAATTTACAAACTTAATAAAATAGTTTCTTATCTATAAGAAACTGTTATTTAGAAAAGGCTAACAACTAAATGATTAATTTCAAAATAATACTAATAATATGTATTTTATAAAATATATTAGCATTTTTATACTAAAATTCTATCTTTTATTTATATATATATATATATATATATATATATATA